CCCACGCTGGAGCAGGGGGATGAACCTGAAGGAGGCTGTGAGAAGCCCACACTGGAGCAGGCTCCTGGCAGGAGCTGTGGCCCCATGGCAAGAAGAGCCCATACTGCAGCAGGGACTGTGTGAAGAGTCCTGAGTCCCCTGAGGATGAAGGGCCAGCAGAGAGTGTGTGATGGACTGACCACAACCCCCATTCCCTGTCCCCGTGCTGCTTGATGGGAAGAGGCAGAGAAAAGCAGGAGTGAATTTGAACCTGGGAAGAAAGGGAGGGCAGGGAGGGAGGAAGGTGCTTTAAGATTTGGTTTTAGTTCTTTTTTACTCTGATTTGAATTGGTGATAAACTATTTTTTTTCCCCTAGTAGAGTCTGTTTGCCCATAGCAGTAATTGATGAATTCTCTCCCTGTCCTTACCTCAGGGCACAAGCTATCATATTCTCTGCCCTGTCCAGCTGAGGAGGGGCGCGACAAAGCAGCTTTGGGGGACACCTGACCTCCAGCCAGGGTCAACCCACCACAATCTTTTCTTACATACAAGGATACCATCAGCAACCACAGCAAATAGAACTGATTTAGCAGGGGAAAAAAGTCACCACAAACTCTTGAAAAATTCACACTACACTTGTTACAAACCTCCAGCTGAATTAAACTCCCATCAACTGATTAGCAACTATATGATGGCCAGAGCTGTTTGATGGAAAGGGTGCTACATGGGCCCTTCAGCCAGGTTGAAGTCCTGTACAGCTCCCCTCAGATGCATTTACAGACACGTGCAATAGGCACTGCACTACCTCTCCTACTAGTTTTGAGCCCAGAGACAGGGAAAGCTCCCTACAGAGTTTCCAGGCCAACACACCTGTTTTCATCTTTTTCTTTTTAGTGTAACTATAACCCATAGAAGAAAAAACCCACAACAAAGCAGCACACTTGCTGACTTAAATCCCTCTACAGAGCATTTGCAGGAGCTGTTATATATGGGTGACTACATTCCCTGACTGTAGAAACAAAAATACTACTACTAAGAGTGGCTATCTACCTGAGAATTAATAGTAGGATGGTGAGAAAATTCACACATAAGGCATCTTGAGTAAGAGACAGCAACTACAAAAGAGATCTCGTTTCCAAAACCAAACCCATTCATAGGCCAACCCCCAACTGCAGCAGTCCCCAGCTCTTGAAAGGACAGCTACTCAAGACCAAACAGTTTTTCACTTGGAACACAAAAATGCTCACATTCAAGGTTGTGAGCTATGCCTCTTCACGACAGGCTCAGAACAGCAGATCAGGGTATAGCACAAGTTCTCCCATTTCCAGACTTAACTGGATTATTCTGCACAGGTTCTACAAGATGACCATAGCATCAAACTGACAACATAGTGTTTTGGGAACAAGCAGAAGGGACAGAAATGATTTCCTGCACAAGGACTTAATGCCTTTAGATGGTAGCACACAGTGACAGGTCTCATTTTAATTACTGTACCAAAAACATCCTAACTAGACAGAGCTCCTGAATAACATGTGATTTTTCATTAACTCACTGTCATGGCCTGCCCCGTTTCCCCTGGCAGTACATAAAACCTGCTTTGACAAAAAGCAACTTAAATCTAAACACCACCTTCTCCTACCTCTCCTTTAAAGGCTCTTCACCTAATTCAAGTACAAGGGCTGAGTAGCACATGGTGTCCTGAATAAGGATGTTTCACAGCCCACTTCCAGCAGGTCAAAAGTTGAACTCCAGGACTGTCTTATAAAGAGTCTTCTGTTTCCAGAAGAGAAAAAAAAAATCATAAGAACATGATTTAGTTGGAAAAACCATTGTAGAAGTCTCCCTAGGAAAACCTTTAGTGAACCAAATATACTAAGCACTTTTGTGCAAGAGACACCCAGACCTCTTTGCAATTGTATCTACACAGACCTCGGGGCCATTTCTACAAGGTTAACTTTAACCTTGGCAAAATATACCCACAGCTCCAGTGCTTCAATGAAAAGCTTATGCAAATGTGCACATAAACTGATAAAGACAGCATCTATGAAAGTCCATGTAAACTGATTTGTCATTAGGGTGTACTGATCTTATTGCAATCCAGTTTTCCTCATTCACAAATAAGAAAGCAGCGGTATGAAAGGACTCATATGTTTGAATTTTTATTGCAAATCATTTGCCCCTGCAACATTTCATAACTATTTTAACTAAGGCAAATTGCAGAATGTTTACATTCATGTTACTTTCATTAACTGTAGCAGGATATCCAAATAGTCACATAAGCTTCAGACATGCAGCCTCATTTTACTGTCGCCCAGCTCTAATCTTCAATGCTTTCAAAGTTTTCCTCATGATTGGTGCAATTGCTGCAAAACAAAGAGACCCGTTAGCATCGTAGCTGTGACTTAAAACAGTATTCAGCATTAATATTAAACATACATTAATAGACAGCAAGTCAAAACAATTATCTGGATAACTTTAGGAAATTTCATTTACTTTTGACAGGCTTCTTTCCATCTTGAGTGTTCACACTTGAGCTACAGCTTCCACTGTTGCTAGCAGGGATCAGATTTGATGACTTGTTTCTGCCTCTGCTTTCTGGAATCCCTGATCTTTTAAAAGGAGGAAATAAGAAAAAAGTTAGCTTTTGATATCAAACTACTATTTGCTCTGGCTCATTTTGGAAAAGAAGCCTAATCAAACATTTAAGACTTCACACATTTAAAAAAATCATATGATAACTCATGCTAGAAGAGAGATCACCTGGTCATCTAGTCCATTTCCATTCTTGTAGAAATTTTCCATTTATTAGATTTGATGCATCTTACTTGTCTTTAAAATTATCAGATTTGTGACAGATCAAAATGTTTAGCAATACCATTGTGATTCATAATGCCTTGTGCTCTAGTGTGCTTTTGGTGTTAATTTTCCTCTTTGAATCCAGCTGAACTGCTAAGTAGCTCTGACAGGAAGTGAGGACAAATTTAAAAAAAGCTTTTTCAGGAATGTCTAGCAGAAAGCACAATAATTAACTCTAAATCTTAGGTTGCAATCCTCAATCCATGGGACACGGACTGAGGCAGACAGATACAGAGCTGGTGCCTACTGCTAAAGACAGTTAAACCAACACAGCATTGAAGTGTCAGCATGACATCACTGATCTGGGCAGCCCTGTACACCCCAGAGCCAGTCGCTGACGTCTGCTGCCAGTTCTCTTACACTGCTGTATGCAGAACTGCCAACAGCAGCCTGCTAGGGAGCTGCATGTCTGCCACAGGACATCTAACTCCTGCAAGGCCACTTCTGAAGCAAGGATCTCAGCTGTACAAATTCTACAGCTTGGAAAAAAAAAAAAGAAAAAAGAAAAGATTTTCAGAGGCCATGGTCAAACCAACAACATTAAAGCCCTGCATGTTCTCCTCAGGCATGGTAAACTGGGAAGAACTGCTGTTGTGGGAAAGAAACCGTAAAAGGGTTGTTGCTTTGCCTTCTTGAGAAACAAGAGTTTGTTTAGGCACAATGAGTTTGAGTACAGCATTCAGCTACCAGCTGAGAGATTACTGGAGCGGGAAGGACATTTACATTACTGTACTTGAAGCACCTGAACTGGAAGGCTGGTCTGTCACACCACAGATACCACCTCCTGTAAGAGCAACTGAAAGCAAGAGCCTAATGTGAAATGCCTTAAGCTACTGCGCTAGTGGGAGACTATCTTTTCACTGAAAAAAGCAACAGTATAGAAAGAAGCTTCCTAATTTCATCAGCTAAAGGTGAAGCTATAAAAACATTGTATCTGGCATAAAAGCTGGTTTTAAGAACTTCCTACATCTAGGAACATTCCTGCCCCATACCACCACCATCTTGAGCAGTAAGTCAAGCTCCTGAAATTCATGGACACTCACATGAATTCACGCACATGGAAATTCAAACACTTCCCCATGGTTTAGTAGGGTTCCCCCCTGCCATAAGTATAGGTCAGTTCAGTTACCCAGTTCACGTACCTAACAGCAAACAATTACTCAGCTCAAGTGCAGGCACTGCAGCACGGTAACAGAAACAACTTCAAATGACTCTTCTGACATACTCAGCTACACTATCAGTCTTGCATCACATATGCAACATCTTAAGTTTTAACCTCTGGGTTCCCAGCTATCTCTCACAATCCCCTCACATACATGGCAACCTGTTCCCTAATTCAAATTAAATGAAAGATATTCCACCTGCAGCTCCCCCAAGAGGGATAATTTTAGGAGAGCTGGTTGAAGAGCAGTTATGCCAACACGGGAGCAACCACAGGCAATGGGGACAAGGGCAGGCACCATGCTCAGTGGCCACAGCAGAGCAACAGTGACCACAGCTTAAGATACTCATGTTCAGACAGTGTGAATACTCTCCACTGCTTTTAGAGTCCAACTGCTGGCACATGGACTCAACCACCTATGGAGTGCTTCGGAATCAAACTGCTGAGTTTTCTTGCAGCAGAGAACAGATATTCAGAGAGTAGAAACCAGCAGTCGTCTTCCCTTCTCAACTATGTGGGGACAGAGGTAGAAGCTGGCGCAACAGCTGGTTTATCTCCCTGTTGCAGACATCTTCCTGGATAAGAGTTCATTAGGCTGGCAGGAACAGCCAGACAGACATCACATCTCAGTTTGGTTATCACGGCTGTTGAGCTACTCTGTACTAAGATGTCAAAGAAAATTTGGCTTTGTGATGTACAAAGGAAACATTTGTTGAATCCCAGTTTTCTGTTCAGTGATTAGTGTTGGCTACAGACTGACTATTCCAGATGCGTACTAAGATGTCAAAGAAAATTTGGCTTTGTGCTGTACAAAGGAAACATTTGTGGAATCCCAGTTTTCTGTTCCTCCAGTGATTAGTGTTGGCTACAGACTGACTATTCCAGATGCTCCTTTAAGGTGCCAAAGTCAAAACCCACCATCAAGAGTATTAAGAATTGCAGACGTTCACTCTGGTCAGCTATATCACTCCAAACAGCTGACTGGGATTTTATGAAAACAGAAGATGTGTGGCTACTAGGCAAGTCTATAAACACAAAACATAAACATTGGAATCTCTCCAGGATGTCAACCAGCATTAGCATAATCTGGAAAAAAAACCCAGCATCTACTCACTCTCCATCTGAGAGGGCAAATTCACTGCTGGCACCTTGGAGAAATCTGCAATGACAATACATATGCAGCAGAGGAGCAAGCAAGACTTAAAAGGCAAGTTACTTTTTAGCCACTAGCTGCTTAAAAAAGGCAAGAAAACAGAAAGCTATTTATAACTTAAAATATTTTGCCATCAAGCTTTTGTACTGACAAAGATGTCTAAACTCAAATAAAAAGCCTGGTGCAGAACACTTACTTGCACTTCTCTGTGGGATGAAACTGGGTGACAGGTCCTGCTATCCCATGGATTTTTTGCTGTCGGCGAACGTTTCTGGGTGGTTTTGCCGCACAGGTCACGTAAGTCAGTTTTACTTGCCTGCCTAATAAAGAAGCAAGGACCAGAGGATATGTGACTTTTTGCCCTTTACATTCAAACCTCGGTTGATAATATGGTTGCATGGCTATTTTTAGGTTTAAACTGGGAAAAAAATTCAGAAAAGCAGAAGCTGGTACCAAAGCATTAACTGAACCATGGCAAATCATTTAACAGGCTGCATAATAGGAAGAAATATCTTAACTCTGGTATTTGTAATTATGTTTGTACTCTTTGCATTGTTGCTTACAATCCTCAGTCTAATCAGTAAGGTAAGATTGTCTACTGCACGCTGCAAGTATTACGCATTAATGTATTGTCTTAATACATGTATTTATTTTTTGAGCAACTTGTAAATTAAAAGGAACACTGTTCTTTCTTGATGACTTCTCCTAGAGGTACAACTCAGTACAAACACATCACTAAGCCCTACATATCAAAAATAGCTGAAGAGACTGGGTTTTGTAAGCAGAAAAGCTAACCACAGATTTTACCTTTTGGCTTCTCAGACTGAGCCGAAAGAATATTTTTTGTAAGCATCTTCAGTTTTTCTTCTCTCTGATTAAACAGCCTCAAGTACATTTCACGCCAAGACTCATATTCCAGGCGTCTTTCTTTTTTAAAGTCTCTCTGGCAGTGTTTCTTCCACAAGTGGTCAGACTCTTCTGCAAACATCTAATTTGAACACAAGATATCTTAAATCAAAGCTTTAAAAAATAACGTTTTCAAGAGTACCTGTTAGCCAAGCCTGTAGACAAAGCCTAATCCCATGGTGGAGAAAGGTGCAGAAGGAATCCCAGTGCACATGCTGTCACAGGTACCCTCACCATGGAGCATGGCGATACAGAGCTGAAGTCAGTCTCTCTGCATGGTATTTGAGTTGAGCCATGCCTACAGCCTAGACTTAGGTTCCCAGCACAGGCTCTGGCCACACTAGCCCTCAGTTGTAGGCATGCAGAGAAACGGCCAGCTTGCACTATGATGTGCTACACACTCAGATCCCTGATGCCCAAATGCAGCATGAAGCTGATGTCCTAGCAGTGTAAATAGGACAACTACCACACACAGGAAATCCCACCCCAGATACTTCCCCGATCGGCATACTTTGCAGCCTTAACAGCTTGTAACTTGAAAACAGTTGGTTCTGTTATGACTATCCCAGCTATTTCAGTTGTAAATACTGTAGTCTGGAGGTTTAAGTTATTTTAAGAAACAAATACTTTTCTACCCACACTGACTTTCACTTAACCATCAGTAACAATTCTTCCAAATGCTAAAAATCCTGACACCTGAGGAAGGGAGGTTTGATAGTGACAGCCAAATTAAAAGAAAGAAGTATGCAAGATAGAAAACCAGTGTAACCCAATGAGAATCTTTATCAGAGGGTGCAAGGAAGCCAGAAACAGATGCCTCATGTCATCCGTGGTTCCTTGAATTTAACCAGGCACAATTTACCGTATTACACTGCTCTATTCGAAACAACTGCTCTGGTGTGCAACGCGTTAGCACAGGCTCAAGAATTTCAAAGGGCACACCTCCTACTTCACGCAGCGCTACAAAAAAAGGACAGTACTTTCAGTCTCTCCTTTTACTCAATGGGTAACACCACTCATGCAGTTTAAAAATAAACACATAAATTAATTTTAGCTAGCATTAACAGAACACGTGTTTTGAAGTCAGGCTATGAAGATATCTAAGTCAAACAGCAGTTCCATACTGACTGGCAGTTGTATTTGAGGATAGAGAAAGCCTCTTTGAATAGCTACTGAGCCATCTTTACCAATGGGCATCACACCCCTCTCTGTCTACACAAGGGAATAAACTTTCTTGATCACGCCTATTTATTTAAACAAACGAGGCAGGGGACATACAACATATCATGCTTCTTGGTTTATCAATAAGACATTATATTTTAAAATTGGAACTTCAAAAAGGTAAGATTTCAAAACAAAACAACATTTTTGCACAGCCATAAATATTTTTTTGTTTGGTTTTGGTTTTTTTTAATTACTTTTCAACCTGCTCTGAGTCACCATTTGTAGGGAGGGTCAATATCTTTTAGTAGGCTGCCTGTTGGTATGGAGAAAAAAAAATCTGATATACTTTCAGGCACAGCCTGCTACAAATCCCTTAAAAGTACTCACAGTCAATATTATTTTGAAGCACACGGATGCACTGTTCATACAGTGTAAGCATCTTTGAAAGACAGACTGTTTTAGAGCCAGAGTAAACTTGCATTTTAGAGTTCAGTCTCTGTCCTGTAAATTGAACCGTCTCACTGATTTGCTGGGGTGCTTCTACAACAGGTGGCAGGGAAGCTGCAAATAAAACATGAGAGTTTTCTTTACCTCCTGACATTTTACAATGCTTTAAACATTCAGCTTTGAGAGAAACACAGATGGTAGGACACATGTACACTCACTTTTCTTGAAATACAAAAGTTACTGCATTACAGTTTGGGGCCCTTACATGTATGATACGGTACTGAAGTCCATTCATCATCATTAACACTAACACAGCACATATACTGCAAGTGAGCTGCACCAACTCAAGCCAGCCTTGCTTACACCATTTAGCTCAGGTCTACATGAGCTGCATTCACATCTACATTACTGTTACCGGTCTAAAGCACATTGCTGGCCCTCCCATGTTACCGTACAGTAGCTAGAAGCTGCAATAGCAGTGATGTTTCAAGATCAGTCATAAAAAACAACCACAACCTCATGAGAGCTGCCAGGGGAACACCGGTACTTTGTGTCACCTACCTACAAAGGTGCTAACAAGTTTCTCTGCCAAAGCTAAACCCCACGCCTCCATTTGTTTTACCTAAGGTAATTTCTACTAAGGCTTTGCGTGTTACAGACAGGAATAAAGGTAAATGGAGCCTGTAGAACCACCACCTGATCTGTGCCTTCTCTACATCTGTGGTAACCTTCACAGTCCTCCTCCATTCGGCAGGCCATGAGAGGGAAGCCTTTATAACTCCCCTCAGCTTCAACCTGATTTCCTCAGATGAGAACGCTAAGGTGAGGCATTTCTTCTCATGGACAGCTGAGCTAATATTATTTATTAGGAAAGGAGATAAAGACGTCTCTACACAGGGCTGTGAAAGCCTGCACAATCTCCCATTTATCCACCTTGCGTACTACTTACCTTTAAAGTCTGCAGCATATGGGGGAGATGAGATTGAGAGGTCTGTCAGAAATTTAGGTAGTGGAGTATGAAGAAGATCTTGGAGGGATGCCATCTTGGCCTGTGCACAGTCAAGGAAATAAACATTGGTTCAGCATTACAAATTTGGATCTACTGAGGCTTAAAACAAGCTACAAAAAAATAAAACCCTTAAGCAAACCGTGGAGTTAACTACGATAACTGCAGTTATTGCTCTTCTCTAAAAAGGACTGCACTGATTACTGAAAAGTAATCCATTGACACTTTCATACTCTACTTACCAAGACTGCATCACAAAAGGAACTTAGTGGGATATCTGCAATCAGTGCATAAAGAGATTAAAGAACAGAAGATGTGTTCAGCTAACAAGCTTTCAGATAAATCACTGCTGAGGTTAGCGGCATAAGGTGAATGAGACCAAACTGCAAGATGACAAAACAATGAAATGTTTAAAGGCAAATAAATGCCATCCTGAAAGAAAAGAAAAAGCTTTATAGCTGGTCCGATCAAGTCTCCTATATTGTGCTGGATAAACCTAAAATTTTCACAGATAACCCTTTAAAAGGGGATTTAAAGATGCAGCAGTCTAATAAGTACATGGGCCTACAAATGCTCAGCATTACGTGCAACATCTGAATTGGGTCCTAGGTGTCCTCCAATTGTAAGCCAGGCACTTACTGGGCAAAACTTGCATCGCTCTGAACTTGTTTTCAGTAACTTTGCACAACTGCTTGAGTAGCCAAGATTTTTCTTCAGTTTATGCTAGAGTATCATACTCCACACATTACTATTTCCCCATCTGGGATTAAAAAAAAAAACCACACCAACCACATTCAGATTGCAGATCTTCTACAATAAACAAAGCCTGGAGCTTTCACATCACAGTAAAGATAAGAGGAGGATACTGAGGAGACCTCTAATTCCCAGTGCACAAAAGGGCTTCATTTAAAAGGTCTAATTAACACACATGTTTAGATCTACCTTGGCTCAGAGGAGCTAATTAAACTTCTTCCACTTCAAGGGACTAGGACAGCTCACATTATAAACATGTAAAAGCTATTTTTATGTGCAATACTGTGGTTTACTTCAATGCATTAAAAGGCAAAAGTTCAGCTCCAGTGCAGACCTTAGCATTCACTATTAAAAAACGACAGCATCTAACAAACCAATTGTTCTAAACACTAACAGCTGCTAGTCACAAATCAGACTGGTCAAGAGTAGAAGGGGACATCTTTCCAAAGGTAAGTACCTTTACTTTGTGGTTAAAAAGCAGATTAGCCGATATGGATCAAAGACTACTGCCATATTGGAAATACTCCTAAAAATACAAGACAAGTTGATTGTAAACTCCCAGCATACAATAAACAATCTTTTTTTGCCCCAGTTACTGCAGTTCTTGGCAATTGCAATGCATCTGATGTCACAGCCATGCAATCTGTTGCTTAAAATAAGCACAGCTGAATTTCACTGAAAATAAGAGTCCAAAGCACTTACTCATCTGCAGTTCAGCTGCAAGTATCTCATCCATGCACTGGTTTACCTTTTTATTGGGAGTCTCCATTTGATCACCCTCACATTTTTTCACATTTTCCTCTCCTTCTTTTGCATGAGAATGTTTTGAAGTCTTTTGTGTTAAAGAGCTGCTGTTCTGTTCACTGCACTTCTTCAGCCGTTCATTGTGAGTAGAATAAGCCTTCCTCTTTCTTTTTTTTGGAAACTGATCATAATTAAGATAAGATTCAAAAGACATAGTAGGGGGCTCAAATTCCTCATCACTAGATAATTTATCTTTGCTTTTCATGACAAGTTTTTGGTTTGGTTTCTTCACATGCTTAGGATTTCTCTGCTTGGAAGCATCTTTGCTAGGCTGTTCCTTCAGGGGTGGCAAGTCTTTCCTGGTTTCAGAGGTACACTGCTTTCCTGGAACTTCCTTGCTGTCTGTGGAGTGCTTCATGTCTGTCTCTTTGAAGTCACTTTCTTTTGCTGGAAGATGGGTACCCTGGGAAGTATGCTTAGAACCATTGCTGTTACATTCTTTACTATCACATACTTTTTGTGACCCAGAATCTCTACTTTGGTGAGTCTTTTTACTACAGTTATGCTGCTTATCCAACTTTTTAGAAATGGAAGCCCTATTGGATCTTCTAGAGGTCAGTACAGATGCTTTGGACTTCTCCGAAGGCTTAATATCCTTGGAAACAGAAGCTTTCATCTCCTCTTTTTCAGCATTTCGTTTTCTTCCTCTGTGACCACTGCAACATAAAATAATCATCGCACCCCGTGCTACAATTGATGCTGAATTCTTGAACAACCAATCTTTTTGCCTATATTAGTAAAACTAAAAGCATTAAATCACACCATGTGTCATAATTTGACAAATATCAGAACTGCGCTCTTATTCTTCCTTCATCAGTACAGAATCCCAAAGAAGCAGCTCATGGGTCCAGCACTGGTAAATATTGCAACAAGAAATGACAGCAAGACAAGTGGGGAGTAGGGACATAACCACCAGCTGGAAGACATGCCTGACACAACTATTTGTTTATAATGTATTAGATAACCAGCTTTTACACAAGCTTCCCTGCATGTTTTATAACGGACACAGTACTTGAAATAACTAGCAAATAGAATTTACAACATGCTCTGTAGGTGATACAGATTACAAGAAAAGCATAAAGGCTGACCTATCACTGATTCTGGTATTTCACTTTCCCACTGTTTGAACAGCTTCAGCATTAAAATGCACTATTTAGTAAATCTAAATCTTTGGCCTTCACGGCTCAACTGCCTCAAATTGGTAGAGGTCTGAAAAACATCTAAAGCACAGTCTGCCCGGCTGTGGCAGTGGTGGAAGCTTCATTCTGAGAAGAAATCACACCTCTTTGGTGGGACTCCTCCAATACTGGGAGCACCTCACCCCCCATCCACAAGAACATTAGAGGAAAGCCCCCTATACAATCACTGGAGAGCTGCCTCGTTTCACCACCACCTCTGGTAAGAAAGAGCAAGCTTCTCACTTCCCTGCAGTGCAGAGCAGTGCCCATCACTGGCTTAGCCCTGCTCACATCAGCTGGGACCTAAGGACTTGTGCCAGTAAAAGAAAAGCAGTTGAAGTCCGAGTGCTGGCTGGCTAACTGACCAATAATGGTTGCTCTGCTTTGTTTTCTGATATTTCATAAATTCATATTTCCATCCAATCTATGCATGTGTCCTAATGCATATTTATCATTCCAAACACTTTCCTAAGCTTTCCCAGCTGTATCCTAAAGTTGTACAACAGTATAATTAATTTTTAGATAACAGTTCACACCTACCTTTTATTTTCTGGAGGAATAAGTTTTTTCCATTGTTTTACCAGGTTTTTAGCTACATTCCCAGCAGTGGCATGTTTCCCAAAACTTTTAACTATTTTGCCTATGCCAGTTTCCTGTTGAAGATAGTGCGAGAAAGATGGGCAGAGTAAATCACAACCAACTTCTCAAATAAAACCTTCTCTAACATGGCTAAACACAGTATTAGCCGAGCAGTCAGAGAGCGCAGTCTTACGGCAGCTAAAGAAATACACACACTCCACTCATACTGCAAACAGAACTGAGGGGCATGTAGATATTTCTAACCAAATATGGGGAACGAAATGCGGTCTTAAATTCATAAAACTAAGAGAAGTCATTTTTCTCCATTAAACATACGTATTTCAGGAATTTCACTTGGCTTGATTGCTTATGCCCACAAAATGCATACTGCTACAGTGAATTAGATTAATCAATCCAAATTCCCTTTAGGCTTATGCTGGTACATTTTAGCATGTTAGAGAGCACATACAATGGAGCTATTGTAATCTAAAATGTACCTCAACCAGGAGTAGTTGCACTGGGGTAGAGGTGTCAGAGGAGCAGAATTCATACCACTAAACTCAGTCTGTTTCAGTCACAGGAGGAAAAAAAAAAGCCATCAACCCTTGCCATTTAAAACCTGTTATTTTCACTTTTCCCCCAGTACAATTATTTTTACATTACTGTTATGCCTCCATGCTTTGCTCTAGAGAGTTTTGCATTGTTTAAGCACAACCATATTGCAGGCTTTGAGTGCATATAGAATCACAGGTGATTTTTTTAATCCTGTATTATCAGTAAATATCTGAACTCTCACTTTTAAGATGCAAAACAAAACCTGGAATTCACCGGTTAGCAGCAACCTGTTAATGCTCTTGATAACTACTGAAATGATAGCTCTTGCTCAGACTTGGCAGGAGTATGTTATGTGCTACTCCCACATAACCAGCTCACACCTTTGAAAGGACTTCCTTAAATTCACTTTAAGGATATTTAGCTTCTATATAAATTTGAACAATACTGGTTTGGTAGGTCAGTGTGTTGCAAATAGATGCAAAAAAAATGGTGGGATTATTTCCTAAAGCTACTTATGTTCTTCAAATACGTTAAAAATATGTGGAGTCCTCAGTGAGAAGACCTCTCTTTCCTCTATTTCACGTGAGGGCTTCCATCAAAGTCTGTTGCATTATAAAACATACAAGTTTGCTGGAAACAGATTGTCTGCAGAATCCCTTTGCCATTTTAAACAAGTAACTGCAATATTATTTTGTTTTCAATAAAAATACATAAACATTGCTATATTCCAGTAGAAGTCTACCTATGTTTAGGCAGGCAAGTGCCTGATCAGGCCAAATATCTTGATTATCATATTTTTCTCTTCCTCTTCAGACAGCTCTCTTGCAAAAGCCCACATTTTTCTTCTTCCCAAAACACAGACACATTGCTCATAATAACTAGAAGCTTCATAGTGTGAGAATTTCCAGTATAAAATTTGATAGGATACAAATCACAGATATCCTTAACTGGAATGCCTGCTCTTGAAATGCAAGAAACTAACCTTGAGCTGCTATTGTAAGACAGAAGATTCAGACAAGTGACCTAAAGAATGGTTCATCCATGCATTGACTTGAAAGCAGTTTTACAGTGAGAAGAAACCACCACTGAGTAGCAAAGTGTCCTCTCTATATTCAGATTCCTG